AAGAGCTATAGTCTAACCTCCTTACAGGATGATTCAGGGGAATATTATAGCTGTAGCTCATATAGGAGTTCAGACCGTCAGCCTACACATGCTTCAAGTTTTTCAGTTTTTGGTAAAACCCAAAGATCAAGTTTGCCTTCTGAAGATACTACTGGCCAAGGGACGATTAAGGTTGAACATGGGGTCGTTTTGGCGATTTAGTTTAGTCCCTGTCTAGAAGAAGTATTCGATGTAGCTCATATGATAGTAGCTTCCAGACCTTTCATTAACTATGGAGAAGAAATTGGACACACCCAGCCCTAAACCTCAAAATCCTAAACCCTATAAAATTTAAAAGCCCTAAACCCTAAAACCCTAAACACTATCCTCCTATCCTCAACCCATTTAGAAAGCGACTTGAGGTTGACCCTCAGGGGGACCACTGGTAGGTCGAACCCTGTGAGGACCCTGGTTTCCTTCATAGTTATCTTTCAAGCTTTCCCGTCTTAGCGCTTTAGCGTTTAGGGCTTGCGGCTTATGAGTCTTTCGCAGGGGGTCTGTGCTCTTCGCAGGTTTCTAGGGATCTATTCCCTGCTGGTGTTCAAGGGAGAGTGGGGAAGTGGAATCCCGACAATGGAGAATGGAAAAGAAAACGGGAAGATGAAATGGACACCCGGGTTCGACCGTTTTTTGCAGGTGAAGTAATCGTCCCCATATTCACTCCCCTAAACCCTACACCTCGTCCAATTTTCTCAAGGGCTTGGGAGGGTTGAACCAGAGTTGGATGCCAAGCCGGCAGAAGCCAGAAGGGTCTACGGACTTCTAAAGGCCTTAGGGTTCAGGGTTTTGGGTTTTGGCTGTCCGCAACATGGATGAGGATACAGGCTGAGCCCCTCTGGAGTTCTTGCTGGTTTAGAAGACTTAGGATTGGGGAGTTAAAGCCTAAAGGTACATGTTACAGATCTTATCTGCTGGAAGCATGCTCCCGCAGGCCCTCATAGGCAAGGACGAGAAAACTGTCCAGCCTGTTTGGGCTCCTGACTGTGTCGCTTGGACAGGCTGTTCGCGTTAGCAGCTACCATTCTCAGAGGCGCCAAGCAGAACTACGGCTACTACATATTAGAACATCATGATGCAGGATGCGGGTGTCACATGTCCAAAGACCTTGTTCGATGTAACGCCTAAGCGGGTACTGCCCCCACTCTGCAACAGGTGGATAGTATTTATGATATATATATAGCCCTTAACATGACCCCTTATATAGACCGTTACAGGGTGGGGGCAGTACCCAGTGTATGCAGGCACTGTCTATAATGCCTAGACTTCGGCGCAGGGTCTTGTACTTCAGGTTCGCGTAACTGCCCTAATGTCGAAGCCTGAAGAGTTACAAGTATTGTGGTCCCATTTTCCTGTTATAATTACGGTACAGGGTAATTACCTCAAACAAACCTTGAAAAGTATGTGGTTAGCTATCTAAGCTCCTAGCGTATATTCTCTGCAATTCTTCCTGCCCCGGCACGCGAACGCCGACCCAGCTTCACGTAGTTTACGCTTGCCGGCAGTGCTCCCCGCAAATCTGTCGAAGACACCCGCAGGCAGAACTCCCAAGAAAACCTTAAACCCAAAATCCAATCTCAGGGCCTTCTTCTTCTGGCTGAAGTAATTTTTCACAACTGCAGCATCTCATAGGGTTTTGGTCAACTGGAATAAAGTTTGACGCCACGGTTTAGGGTTATGCTGGAGGCTGCGAAGCACGATGGATACGATTTGGGTTGAATGTCATTTCCTTCTCTACCCGTCTAACCCCTTAATGCCAGTAGTTAAACACCCCCGCCCATGAGATTGAATATGTTTCCCAATGTGTGAGGTCTCTTGAACATTAGTTTTTTGTTGTGTGGGCAGTGTTCGATATTAATATGAAGTGATTCGGCATGACGAGTTGGTCAGACTTGTCTTTACGGTCATAGTGAAGTTCGTCCTTTCCACGTACAGGAATGCTCCACTTTCAGGAACGGGATGAGATTCGTGCTGGAGCTGTAGAAGAGCCACTCTAAGGATACCTGTGGCCCTATATTCCTTCATCTGAGCTATAGTCTAGACTCCTTACGGGGGGTTATATAGGGGATTACATGGGGGGCTATTAAGGGGTCTAGTAGGGGCAATGCTAGGAATTTGCACCGTTGCGCAGATGATCCCCATAACAGCCCAGTTTCCATTTCATTGTCCATTTCCTTTTCCATTTGATTCTCCGTTATCGGAGTCACATTTCTAAAGCCGCATATAGCCTAAACCCTAAACCTTAGAAGCCTTATATTTCCGCATACAACCCATATCAGTATCATCCCCAAATTGTTTTTCTGTTTCCATGCTTAATTTTCCTGCCGGTGCTATTCGGCATTGTAGCCCAGAAGCTACCAAAAAAGGCAGGGCCTAAACCCTAAACCCCATACCCTGAGAAGTTCTAAAGGTCTAAGCGCGTTCGACCTATGAATGCTCAAGACAGCCATGCACCCCAAGCTACTGGCATGGTTTAGGGTTAAGGCATAGGGCTTAGTCTAAACAAGTCTGAGGGCACCAGAGCAATAATGTATAAGACTAGACAACTACTAGCATTATAGTCCTAAGTTCCTTGCACGTATAGTTGTAGTAAAGGGTACCTCGAACAGATTTCAACATGATATAGGGGTTTCCCAAAATTAGGGGTATCTTTTTGTTGGTCCCCATAATGAGGATTGTAACATTGGGATCTATATCGGGGCCCCCCTACTTTGGGAAACTACCCTGTCGGAATACCACGGAACTATGGGGGTCCCACTGAACCGAAAGCCCGTGAAGGTGTCCCGCCTTAGGGCTTGTATAGGACTATCGACAGAAACTCCGGCTTGTTGGTGTTGACTTTGTCTCTCTCAATGTTGTCTGGGAGTTCAAGGAGGACGAAGAGGAGTTCGTAGTCGGATAGAAATAGAAGTAAAATCGTCATGATCCCCATTCGGGAATTCTTTCGGCCCGCTCCCTTGAACCGTTACCCGTAGAATCTCACCTGGCTCTTTAGCATTTATCTTTGGAAAGTCCCCTGCTTTGAAGAACCAACGCCCCCACCTGCTAAGAACAACCACCCGCAACATAGTGTATCCCATTACATATTAAGGGAAACATACATTACAAGGGGGGTGGGGTGGAGGGTTCATTACAAGGGGGCGGCGATTAGCTCTGCGAAGACTACGGTACTGGTTGTTGACCCCAGTGTCCTGTGGGTGTGTGTGTGTGTGCTTCGTCCCAGACGATGCCAAAAGATGCTCACCAAGCCGCACCAAGCCAGCCAAGAAAAAAACAGGCTTCACGGCAGTGGCATTTCTCACAGGCGTATGCGCCTCAAAAATGCAGAACCAGATGGACAACAGCATGGAACATGGAATGAACTTACAATGCTTTTCCAGAATTAGGGATGCTTCGGGGGAGTCCCCCGCCCCTGTGCTAGGGAATCTAGCATAGTACTGGCTATGTTGGGGGCCCTCTATCTACGCAGACCTCCACATAGTTGTATTATGTGTCTACAGATATGGATGTACATAAGTCTTGTTGCGCGTGTAGCTTGCTAAGCAGGGAAGTTCTGGACTTCCAGGCCAAAAGAGCATAGCGTTTCTGTAGACTTCATCTTCCCAGCAATACGCCAGTGGCCTGAACCAAGCTTCAAGCACAGCACAACTCTTGATTCTCCTCGCGTCTCATGTGCAAACCCGTCCTAAACCCTCAACCCTGAAACCCTATGTAGTAGTTTCCATTTTATTTTCCATTATCCCTATATACCCGCCTTTAACCCATCAACTTGGGTCCTGGCAATAACCTGAAATACCGATGGTGGATACTAAATATCCTGCGTGGCCGTCATTTCTCAAAGCCTTGCGAGTTACGATGGTTCCAACGCAAACCCAAAGGTCATGCAGGATTTTTTCATATCAGCCGTAGCATACAGGTGTGGAAGCTTGTGCTAGAAGAAGCCGGCCTCTGTTGGTGACAGCGGTTTAGGGTTTAGGCTAAGGGGTTAGGAGTTGGGGTCTAGACAACAGTGGAAAACATGAAACAGGAACGGAAGCACTATCTTATGGAACCTCAGCGACAACAGCATTCTAGATGACAAGGAGGCTTCGGTTACCCCAGCCGGCACATAGGGTCTTTATACCCAGATCCCCTAGCACTTACAAAGCTCATAAGGCCGCATTTTCCGAAAAGGTCTCAAATTGTTCAGACATCTCCGGCAATGCTTTCATACAAGTAATGACTGGTATTGGGATGATGGTCATCCTAGGAGGGTATGGAAGCTCAAACCTGGAACAGCTTGCTTCCTGAACCCTTTTGAGAGGTTTTGTACATAGTTTTTTGTTGCAGGAATCCTAGCAGGCCCCTTAATGATGGTTTGCTCGTCACATATGTGTTTGTCCTCAGAAACGAGAAGCGCTGTTGCGAGACGACACAGTGACAACAAGAGGCCAGCGCAGCAAAGATGACTCCGCGCTGTTCTCCACATACTTTGTCGGAACTGTTGTGGTAGCTTCCATGTCCTTTCCATTGTCCTAAAACTACTATTGCCGTTCCCGTGTTGTTCACCATTATCCACATATAACCCCAACATACTACAGCTCGTGTACTGCTCCTGTAACTGCTACTGCTCCTCTTCCTCCTTCGACTTCCTGCTGCCGTTCCTGCCATTGCTGCTTCTTCTTCTTTCTATTAATGCGAATACTGCAGTTGCCGCGAAAGACTACAATGGCTACAGCAGCCTCAACAACGAGAAGCTGACTAAGACAACAAGAGTATGGGAAGGATGACAAGAATGACGATTCCACGACTGCCCCACTTCTCCACCTGCACCCGAACTGCTACTGTTGCCATTCCTGTGGTTGCTATAGTCACCAGTAGCAACCTCAGCATCATCACAACCATGATCCGCATAGCTGCTCCTACTGGCCCAGCATTCCGCTTCAAGTCTCCGGGGCAGTTTGTTAGCCGCAGCTTCATCAGCTATGTCTCAGTCAAAGTATGCAGCTTGGCTGAGCTTTAGGGTCGAGGGTTTAGGGTTTAGGGGTTTTGCTGTGAGGTGGCTCTGAGGCAGGGTTTCTAGGATGTTGCGGCTGAGGGGCTGAGAACTTGGGAATGTGTTGTGTGGTTCGGGCCTTCTCCTTGGCCCATGCAACAACAATCTTGACTTCATTTGCATCCTAAAGTGCTCAAGCCCGAGACGCTCCTTGCACTTCAGAAGCTGCCAGGCTAAACCCTCAAATCCTTATCCCTAAACCCCTAAACCCAAATCCCCCAAACCCTAAGCCCTGATTTCTTTGCAACTTGTTGCTGAGGCCTCACTGGGGCATCAGTAGTTTAAGTTGAAGCTCCAGGGTTTTGAGCCGAAAGCCTTTTCCCTGCTTAGAGGGGTCAGTGGGACCTAACGATTTAGGGTTAAGGTTTTAGGGTATTCGGGGTTTAGGGCTCTGGGTCAAGGGGACTCGGTAAGTAGACTTTGTAATCCCGAAAATCCACAGTTCTCAGTTATCCCGTTTATTTACCTACTTGCTAAGTCCCCCTGCCCCTCCCAGCAACCCAAAACCCTACAAATCCCTACAAAACCACAGTTTCCATGTCATTTGTCCATGTTATTTTCCGTTTGCTTCGCCACTATCGGTTTACCCCCCTTACACCCCGAACCCCAAAGACCTTAAACCCTAATCCATACGAACCCTGCAAGCAGACCTTGAGCTTTGGCAAATTGTTTTACGGCCTGGGTTCTGCAGTTCAAGATACATGAAATGAGTAGGGACTAAGGGATTAGGGTTTAGGGAATGCCTAAGGCCAGTTTCTGTAAGGGGACATGACCCAAAGATACATGAGTGAGAAAGTCTTCACAGATTTCGGCGTGCCCGGAGGTAGAATTACCGCTAGCGCCAAGGTGTTACTGTACTAAATACGGTTCACTTCTAATTTCCAAATAGTTCCACATAGCCATAGCCCGTTTTAGTCGCGGTACAAACTTGACTTACTGTGGTTAGTAGGGAACAAGAGAATGTAACCCGTATAGTCACATAATAATATCTTCCCCTGTTCCCTACTATACTAAACCACAGTAATTTGCAATCACCCCAGCTTGATTTCCGTTCCTACACAGTATCCCAGAGTCCCCTGTAAACCACAATTGGGAAAAGCGATGGAGGGTCTCCGGTTGTAGGACTTGCATCAGTTTGCAGTAGTCCACTTTTGGCCTCAGTGTGATGCAACAGCTTTCACAGTTTAAGGTTGTGGGTTTGAGGATGTAGATTTTGATGCAGGGCTTATAGGGTTGCCCAATAAGAGGATGTTGTTAATCCGAATTCCTATGAAGGGGACCCTGCCATAGCCATATGATAGCTGTGGGGTCCGAATATGGCGGGTTTGCGATAGTTATCTTTGTGTGGCGATGTGTTTTTGATTCTTCTTGGTGCGCGGAGGCGTAGATCTCTACAATGTCCCAAAAAGCGCCTACGATACCCCTATGGACTCCCTACGTAATCCCTATAGAGCCCCCCCTATATAACCCCTAAAATACCTCTAGACTCCCTATATGCTCGGTATACAAACTCTTTTTAGATACTACATAGGGGCCCCAAAGTGGACCCCGACATGGTAGAACGTTACGTAGGTATCAACCGCAAATCCCAAATCCTAACTCCCCAAAAGGGAGCCCTAGTTTCTGGGGAAACCCATAAAGCATGCAGAAGACTCTGAGCATTCAAGAGGTGTTAAGGCTGTTGGATTTAGGTGTTAGGGTTCAGATTTACATATACAGGGTCTTCACAGTTTTAAGAAGGGACCCCGCATTTAACAATGGATTTTCCCTGCGTAGTGCCCATGCATACGTACACTTTCAGATACGAACAAATTTGGGAAATAATTGGTATTTGGGGGGTCAGATTTTTGCTATTGGGGGAGGTGATTCTGTAGAATCCCTAGATGATGGCAGATCCACAGCACTAAACACTGCTCCCTAACTCTTTTAGGTAAGCTATAACTGCGAATCTATTGTTGTAGACAAAACCCTATATAGCTAGACACACTACTGTTTCCGAACTTACAACTCCCTTGCAGTGCAAGGTGGGATTCCTCGGAGGAGCCAACAAGTTTGGCAGGCCGCACGTGGCAATCTAGGGTTTAGGGTATTATTCTTTGTGCCACCAGAGTTGCTCTACTCTTGTTATGATTGATGCGTACTGTAGATGAAGCTGCAATCCACACATTTTGTCAGTCGGCATTGAATGATAACGCTAGGGAGCTGATAGAATTGCCACTGCGGAGTCCCATTATTGGCCTACCTAATCCTCTTTTAAGGGGCCCTCCAAACACATTTTAGGGGGCCTGCTTATTAAAAGGAAGTGCGACATTGATTGGCCTTTTCTGGGAGCTAGAATCATCTTGCCAGAGAATGGATCCATGGTAGGTAATATGGCCTTCCAACAATGGTTATTTAATTTCACTTCCGTCAAGAGCAGCCAAGCTCAGCCGTTTTGTGGTAGGTGCCCCCATATCAACCTGGAAACATACCAATCCTTTTCGCAGGGATCCCAAAAAGAGACCCGTAATTTTGGGAAATCCCCGCGTGCTACCCTAAGGCTCTTGGACCCGCGTGGTGAGATCCCAAATCTTAGTTCTCAACAGACAAACCTTGCCCCCAGAAAGCCCGTTATATTCCGAGCATGTACAAATCCCCATATGGTCCTACGTACCCCTATGGTTCTTTTAAGGGACTATGGTATTATAGTAGAACTTTCTAAGTCACTGCAATCAGTGTGAAGGTTTTCGGCCCGCCCAGACGAAGAGAACCTCCAACCCTTACCACGCGCTTTAGGGTTTAAGGTGTTGAGTGTTTAGGGTTTAGAGTCTGGGGTTCAGGGTTTAGGGCTTAGGGTCTGGGGTTCAGGGTTTAGGGCTTAGGGTCTGGGGTTCCCTAAACCCTAAACCCTAAACCCCTATAGGGTTTAGGGTTTAGGGTTTCCAAGGCCTATGTGGGGATGATGTGGTAAGTTTAGGACATAGGGTTGAAGGTGCCAGGGTACCCCACCTTCCCTTGTGGGGTCTTCGTGCCCTCTAGCCATCCAATTCATCCCCGCGGGCCGTAGGATTCTAATTCGATTTCTGTTGGATTCGTTCATGGCAAATAATGGCAGTCTCGACCTAATGAGAATTATTTTTGGATCTCGAAGCCTTAAACCAGGTTAATTTACCCTCATTGGCTGTTCTTACCATGGTTTTGCCCTTTTGAACGTAGTCTGCCAGGATTTTACGCCTCCGCTCGGAGTATTTGTCATAAGGGGGTCCATTAATAGGGGAAGGGATTCTGCATAGAAATCCATTAAAACAAATCTCAGCAAGAACGAGGCAATAAAGGAGATCCCTAATTCCATTCCTTGTATTCCTCATCTGACCTCAGAACCCCCAAGCCCTAAATCCTCGTCATCAGGGTAGGTTTACTTGGCCACCCTAAACCTTAAACCCTAAACCTTAAACCCTAAACCTTAAACCCTACACCCTAAAAACCACGTTACTTGGGACCCTTTCAAAAAGTAGTCTTCCCCTTTGCATAAGTGCTCTTTCAGGATCTTTAGCCCCTGAAGTTGCTTCTTCAACGGCAGGAGGTGGGTTTAGGGTGTAAGGTTTAGGGTTTAGGGTTTAAGGTTTAGGGTGTAGGGCTTAGGGTTTAGGGTCGCATACTAATAGGGACTAATAGTACCCTCACATGAGCTGTAGTCTAAACTCCTTAAACGGGGTTGTATAGGGGAGCAGTATAGAGGTTATTAAGGGGAAGACTAGCAGCTTCGACTATAGCACATGAAGCCCTACGAGCCTACACCATAACCCTAAATGGTAGTTTCCCAAAATTAGGGATACCTTTTTAAGGGTCCCCATAATAAGGATTATAGTATTTTGGGATCTATATTGGGGTCCCCTTGTTTAGGGAAACTACCAAATATGACATCCGCCAAGCCCTAAGCCCTGACAACGTAACACTCGACGCCCCGAAGCCCTCATAGACCCCCTGTGGCCCCTGTGAGCCCAAAAGGTAGTTAGGGTTTAGGGTTTAGAGTTTAAGGTTATTGTAAGTGCTCCAAAATGCATTTAGAATTGGCTACAAGGATGAGCATCGTACTTCTAAGCCTAACAAGAACCACCCACGAACCTCCTAAGTAGCGGGCCTCCATATCTTGGGCGACTGATCCTAGGTGGATCCCGGAGCCGGAGATTAAAGCTCGGGCAGTTGCAGGCAACCTTCATGTGGGTAGTTCCCAAAATTCGCTTCCAATTTTGGTACCCCCAAATATTAGGTGCCGTAATATAACCTAGAACCCAAAGGGGCCCATAACTTTGAGAATAGCCCATGCATGGGCCTTGATGAGTGGAACGCGGTTTAGGGCTTAGGGTTGAGTACCATACATAGCCTGACGTCCACCAGAGCTAGCTAGTCACTCAGGTTTCGACAGTAGGTCAAGTTTTCAGGGTTGTACCCTTGAGGTTTTACCCCTTGTTGGGGGGACCCCTTGGGAAACCTCTTAATATTGTTGTTGTATGGGGTGTCGAATCCAGGAACTGTTGAAAAACATGATCTCTGGATCTTGCTGATTTATGGATGGAGGTACCAATGTTAAGATGCGGCAGCAAATCATCTCGCGGCCCATCGAGGTGTCTTGAGGTACGAAGAACCATGAAGTTTAGGGTTTAGGGTTTAGGGTTTAGGTAAGGTTTTCCAGTGCTGCAGGGTCATGAGGCTGTCTGCTCTGAACCGTAAACGGCATTGGCTTTTGATTGTGTTTAGGGGTTCAGGTTTAGGGTTTTGGGTAGCGAGGTCTCCAACTGAGGTACCTTCTTAGTAGTGCTCAGGGATCTGGAGTTCGGGCTTGCAACGCCAAGATTTATGGTGGGGTTTGAGTAGGCCAAACAACCTGGTGCGTAACCGCAATGCATCCCTGCAGTAGGTCCTTATCACCCGCTCCTCAATTCCTACACCTACCCTAAGACCTAAACCCTAACAGGATTCAGGCTTGGCAGACTCGAGCCGGTCCGATTCGACTGATCAGTCGGCCACGAGTAGAACACATCTAGAAGTTTCTGGAAAGTAGAGATCGCGTTTTGCGGGTCTCTATACTGATAACTAGTACTTGGGGGTCTAGATGGGGGTTCCGTCCCCCTATTCATGGAAACTACCACTTACATATACTTATAGCCCACGTTGCCTTCCTTTTAATGAAGCCCTTAAGCTGTAACCCCGCAGCCCTGAACCCGAAGCGCGCCGCAGGTGGCGCAACCATTGACTTCTCACAGGCAGAGCGCAAGGGAACACAGTGCTGTGGGATTTTGAGGATGAAGCTCCTTGGGAGCTTAAGGCAGAAGAAACCTAAGATCCCCATTCGCAAGCTGTATTGCAGAAGCCTAAATAATTACCGACATTACGGTCCCATACGCATTGTGTAATCATGGAATAGTTTAGGTGGACCCCCGGCCCTGTAATAGTGATTCTAAGGGATAATCGTAGCCATATTAGGGCCCTCATATATTCCTAATAGGCCACTATTACAGAATGGGTGGTCCTCCTACGGAATAGTTACGTACTTCAAATGACCTCAAAAATTGTTTAGGCACCCTACACTAGGCTGGACTGCGGTGAGGATCCCAAATCTGCGCTGCGTGCACATCAGCGCGTTCCTTACCCTATGAGCCCTAATCTAAACTTCTTGAAAGCGTCATATAAGGAGTATTATGGGAGTTATACCTAGGTAGGGGCTACATAGACTTTAGTCTAAACTCCTAAACTGGGGTTATATAAGAAACTATATTGGCGACTACTTTAGGGGACTACTACAGGGATCATTGAGGGAGATACTGGGAGTTTAGACTATGGCTTATATGAGCCATAATGTAAACTCCTTTAAGGGTGGTGCTCTAGGGGAGTATTGTAGTGGTTATTCACGGGGGTACTGGGAGTTTGGATTATTATAGCTCATACGAGCAGTATAGGTACGTCTTTGCTCTTATAGAAGCCCGCGCTCTATACTTGCTTCAGGGTAGTTTTACACCCAGTCCTACTCGCAACCCAACTCTCACCTATTGCGGGAATTTGGGGGGGGCTTTTGAATGAGGTATATATATGTTGGATACTGTCCCAGTTGGATAATATTTATGTAATGCAGTTATGTAAAAACCTTTGATATGACCCTTATTACAGACTGTTGACGGGTGGGGTGAGGATCCAAGTTATAGGCAAAGCTACGATTGGGCGATCATGGCCCGGAATGTTTCGTGAACCCCATAAGGGCTCCACAGAGCACCACCAAGCCAAGGTTGAGTTGATTTCATTTCCGGGGGTTTAGGGTTTATAGTGTTTAGGGTGTNNTAGGGTGTAGAGGGTTTAGGGTTTGTTGGGTCTAGGATGTAGGGTTTAGAGGCTCGATTTTTAGCACCCCGACTACATTAATCCTGTTATTGAAACCAGCTGAGGAGTGTAGGTTGTAGTCTAAGCTAACCTTCGTTCAGATTTCAAGGTAGTCATCATAACCCATTTCTAAGGCACTATGCAGCGGTTATATAGGTATCGTGTAGGGGGTATATATTATAGAGAATAACAGGGCAATTCTAGCCCAACTATGCCATTCGCTTGTTAATGTAGCCCAATCCTAAACCTTGTAAGCCCCCTTACATAGCTGTAATTGGGTTATGAGTGCCAGTTATTACTGGGGCCCTAAACCCTAAACC